ATAGATAGATAGATAGATAGATAGATAGATAGATAGATAGATAGATAGATTGATTGATTGATTTTAGGGCCTTTTTGGCAACCAGAGGTCCTTTGGGAGAGGTTAAGTCTGTTCTGCAAAGAATCCTGGAGCTGAGGGCAACCTTTCCAGTTTGTGACAAGGGTCAGCTCCACAGCATCCGGGAGAGGCTGAGCTCCAGTTTACCAGTACAGAGCCTGGAGCCAGCCTCTTCTGGGGAGTGTGTGTCCCAGTAACTTTGAGTTAGTTGGGTAGCACATTAGCTTATGACAACCGATGCTTCAGTTATTCAATTGCTACATAGACTTAGGAACGTAAGAGGAATCGGCCACCATCTTAAATGACAGAAACGAGACCAGTGTTTGTTTCGAGAGAGCCTCATGTATCCGAGGCCGTACGCACAGCGAAGGATAGCTTTGAGTTTCCTGACCTGCACACCTCCAGAATACTGGGATTACAGAAATGCACCACCCTGTTGTGGGTTTTTGTGGTGCTGGAGTTAAAACCCAGGGATTCATTTGTGTTGGACAGACATTCTTATCAGCTGAGCTACATCCTCAGCCCAGCATTTTCTAATAGCTTGGTTTAGTTGGAGAGCTGAATCCTGGGAAATGCTTACGCAGGCTGATCTGGAATCTGCGTCCCAGGGAGCTCCAACCCCACACAATATTAGCTTCCTACTCACAAGGAGCAAGCCCACTGCCTTCCTTTATAGAGGACAATGTTTATTGTTTTTCTGTCTAGAGGGTCACAATGGGGGCAGGGAGGGAGGAGTTACAGTGGCCACTGGGTTGGTTCAGAAGATGCAGGTGCAACCCACAGCGATGGTCTCCATGACGACGCGCTGGCGGCAGGGCCCCGGGCGCGGAGGTGGCGGACAGAGGCGACGACGCACTGGCACCTGGCTGAACACCGGCACGCTCACCATGCTGCGGTCCTCCTGCATGGTGAAGGGGTTCACGCAGCCCAGACATAAGCACCGAGCCTCGGGCAAGTCCGCAGGGATGCGGCTGGGGTCGTGGTTGATGCTGCCGGGAGCGGGTGGGGAGGGAGAGAGCAGGGTGAACCCCACCAGGAACAACAAAGAGAGTTGCCCGTGCCAAACCCAAGGAGTCCTTACAAGGTTAGGGTTAGGGCTAGTGGCCAGGGTGTGTTGCAGTGAACTCCGCCTTCCCGAAGAGGAGACTCAGATCTGGAAGCTAGCATTGCTAGTCAGGTTCTGAGTAACCACTGTCACCAGCTTCCTCCTTTCACCCAGTAAGATACCTTGGGGACCATGGAAAAACCCAAGTCTTCCCTCTTCCTTCTCTACCCTATTTTCATACTGTGGGGAATTAATCTACAGAGGTAAAATGTGCACACACGGGTGTGGAATCCACATTGCAAGAGGATCCGGGCCTGTGTCCCTTCGTGCTGCCAAGCCTCAGAGATTCAACAACCTTTGGGGTATTGCGGTTTGGTTTGGATTGATTGCGGTTTTTCTTTTGCTTTTGTTTGCTTGTTTGTTTTTCATTTTTGAAGAAGGTCTCGTTTTTGCAGCTCAGGCTGACATCCTCCTGCCTGCAGTGCTCTTGCCTCAGCCTTTCCAGGGCTGGAATTAAACCAGGCCTAGCTCAACTAGTTGTTGACTTTTAAAGTTCTGTTTGTTTGTTTGTTTGTTTGTGATCAGAGACCTTGCAAGGAACCACAGGACAAGTTTTGGGAGTCGGTTTTCTCCTTCCCATATTTGAATTCTGGGGGTTGTATTTTTATACATATACCGTGTTGTATCATTTGTGTCCTAGACTTTAGGCACTCACTGGGGAGGGGAAACGGACAGCTCCTTCTGAGGGTTGTCCAGAATTTATATTACAAACGTCTGCTCCTTTTCTTCTCTGTCTTGATTTCTTAGTTAAAGGTGCATGAGATGTAGGAGAATTAGGCCAGGGACACACAGCATCAGCCACCTCACTTGGCTTGGGAGCTTCTTAGAAATGAATTTAAAATCTCCTGAACGATGGGCTGAGAGGTTAAAAGAACATTGGCCGTTCTTCCAAAGGTCCTGAGTTCAATTCTCAGCCACCACATGGTGGCTCCTAACCATCTAGTGAGATCTGGTGCCCTGTTCTGGTGCATAGGCACACATAGGCGAAATGCTGTCTAATAAATAAATAGGAAAAAAGACTTCATTTAAAAAAAAAAAAAAAACAAACACCTGAACGAGCCTACGGTTTTACAATCTCCCTGACTGACACATGGGCAGGAGCAAGCTGTGGCCTGTGGAATCCTTACGGACTCCATCGTCACATTCCAGGTCTACACCACTCAACACAGTAGCCACCGGCTACATACACCAACCTAAACTTAAACTAGTCCTTCAGTCTCGTTAGCCACATTCCAGTGGTTCTGTAGTCACCTGGCTACCACAGTGGACTTTATACCACGAAGTTCTGGCCAGCAGTGCTAATCTAGAGTCTTAGGGCATAGAAGCAACATGGCTGGGAAAGCTCTGGACCAAGTTTATGAGGGAGCTAGGCAGTTCTTTATTCCGTGTAATCCATGCACCTTGGGCTCCTTCTGCAGGCCGACCTAGCAGGTGGAGCTGGGCTCACAGACATTGCTTCTGCAACCCACGGCAGCGGGGAGATTCCCCAGTCGAAGCGTGGCTGTGAACCCTGAGCGTGGAGAAGCAGATGCACCGCCGAGATCTGGGCATCCATCGTAGGGATGGGTGAGCACGGGGGCCCTGAGGTGGTTCTGAGGCAGACATTAAGAAGGCAACTGTCTAGCATGAACGAGATGAGAGTACAGCCAGCCAGTGTGTACCAACCACAGTGCCAGACAAAGTACTTTAGACGCACTCCAGCTGGGACGGGGAGAACGAAAAGACAGTGCTCTGTGTGGCTACCTGTTTATAATAGCCTATGACGTTCACACCGCTACTGCTTCCACTGACCGCTGGGGAAACTGACCTCAGCAAAACTAATCAATTGAGCAAAAGCCTTACAGTTGGTGAGAGGCGGAAGTGGGGCTAAAACTCATCCGAATCCAAGGTCTTGACCACAGAGTCTGGGACGGTGGGAGAGTAGGAAAGGTGGCCTGCTGTGACCAACCCACTTACCTGTAGCCCCAAGGAGACAGGCTCCTCTTGTTGGACAGCCACAGCTGCAGGTTGACTTCGCACTTCTTCTTGGTTGGCTCAGAGCTGTTTCTCAACTGGGCCACCATCTCTCCGAGGTTCCTTTCATACTCTTCCATTCGAGCATAGGGCTTTACTCGAGGGACCAGGTCCAGTGGCACCTGATGAGGCCCAGGGGCCAAGGGGCCGGGTCTCCCTTGCCCCTTCCTTTTGCCTTTGGTGTTCCGGGGCTGGCTGGCCCCCAGGAAGATGGAGATGGCAAGAAGGAGCAGCTGAGGAGGAAGGCTACTGGTCAAAGGCCAGAGCCAAGTCTCTCTGAGCCAAGGCTTAGGGTTAGGTCAGGGAAGAGAAAAGCCTCTGCATTGGCCACCATGAATATGGACACTTGCTTTGTGTTAGGCACCAGTGATACCACACCCACCCACCGCCATCTTGAAGTCTTTAAAGTAGGGTATCTCTTGAACACCCCCGTAGTTACTCAATCTACAGACCACAGTTGCTTCCCAGGACAGCTCCACCACCTCCTAACTGGCTTTCCTAAGCCTGCCTGGCTTCTAATCAGCTCAACTCATCAAGGCCAACGGCAGCCATTTTGAGAAATACATCAGACAGTATCATCTTCCCCCTCAACGTCCTTCCTGAGTCCTCGGGCATCTCCTGTGCCCCTCCTTGACTCCTCTGTGCTTGCGTTCACCAAGTTTCTTGCTGTGGTAAGGATTTTTCACAGGCCTCTGCCTGCACCCTTCTGTCTTCTCCTTTCACCTTCTGAACACCTTGCCCAGCCAAGGGCTCTAGTTCACTGCCTCAGCGACACTTCTGGACATCCTAGAGTTGCCATAACTAACCCCCTCATCCCTTACACGTTGGCAGTGGTACTTGGGCATGTGATTCTTTGATATCCCCTTAGCTGCCTCACCCGCATGCCTGGGCACAGACTCCCAGAGAGATCCTTTCCACACTTCTTGTCCCTCGTGTCTGTATCTGCACAGTGTCCTGTCAGGCTTCATAATACACATGCAGAGTGAACGGCTTCCACTACCGTGCCTGCCCTGAAACTCCGTTGTGACAACTGTTTGGGTAGAGCACAGGGTAGTAGGAGGGACGAGTACAGGGGTGGCTGGGAGGCAGGGTTCTCACATGGCCCGGGTCAGCAAGGTGGCTGAGCCCAGCTTTTCTGGAGACTAATTCAGTGGGGGGAGGAGAAATCGTGAGCAGAGGAAGCTTAAAGTCTTCCAGGGATTGCGGAAGAGTGAGAGGAGGGTTGGGCTGCTTATAGGCTTTGCTGAAAGGAAATGAGAGTGGGCGAGGAGGAGAACACAGCATGAAGCTGGCACATGGTCCCCGTAAGACTTCATTTCCAGATCACGCTCACCCTTCTACTCCTCCACCACCTCCTCCTCTCCCTTAGCACCAGACGACCTGCCCTCCTCCTATTCCCATTTGCTTTTTCTCACTGCTTTTCTGAGTCTTACCAGACTCTTTGCCTTCCCTGAATCTCTTGGCCCACAGGGACCCGGCCTGGTTTATTATCCAGGCTACTCAGCAAGCCTTGAACCTTAGAAACAAGTTCCAGCGCAGCCCCTCTTGGCAGAGACACTTGCTGGCATAAAAGCCACAGCACTGAATCAGGCTGCTAAATTTTTTCCTTTTGGTCCTCCATTCTGCTGCAGAAATACTTCCCTCACTACAGGCTTTCTCGGCTGAGCTTCCCACACACTCCCTAACTCACCTTGCGGAGGGAACACAGACCAAACTCAACATCCCCTCTCTCAACTTCCGGGACTGGAAACAAAGACCGAAGGGCTTGCCCAGCATCATGCATTCTACCCAGATCCCAGAAGCCAGGCCTGGAAAAACCCTAGTGCCTGAGTCTGTCCGGATGCCCCCAGATGCTTCCGCCTCAATGAGCTTCAGTGTGACCAGGCTGTGCCCAGAGCTGGGGCTCCAGCCTTGGGCCCTGACTGCAGACTGAGACCAGGCTCTGTTTCATTCTGGGCCTGAAGGAGAGGGCAGAGCTGGTCCCTGCAGATTCCAAGCCAAACACGGGCAGCCATGAATCAATGGGAAAGGACAGCTACAGACAAGGTGGAGGTGGGGTAGGGGAGCACCACGTACCAGGCTGTGTGGCCAGTCCATCCCACCAAGCCAGGCAGCAGGCCTGCAGCTGCCACCGGCCAGGAACCCCAGATGCCGCAGAGAGAGAATGGCAGCAACAGGATGGACCGAGGCAATTATAGCTCCACAGGGGGCTGCTGGGGGGTGTGGGTGGGTGGGCTCACTGTCAGCTGGGAGCCTCGGGCCCCCGGCTGGCTGTTCCTTAGCACAGTGGCAGGCGGTGAGGGGTGTGGGGGCAGGCCAGGAGCCAGGCTGAGGTGCCCAGGGGCTGTTGACCAAAGGACAATGCCCTGTGTGTCTGGTGGGGCTCTGGCTGATGGCACCTCCGCCTGTGGCCTGCGGCCGGCTGACCAGCCAGCACCCACAGCGCCAGTTAAGACAATCAGCTTCGTTTGCTTTGGGGATGGCAAGGGGATGAGGGTGGAGGAGGGATGGGCTGCTGGTTGGTCAGGAGAGAGAAATGTACTGAAACTGTGTTGGCCTAGAGCCAGACAGCGCTATCATCCAGAGAAACAGCCCCAGCCACTCCAACCAGCCTCAGGTGAGCTCAGTTGCCCACCCTCTAGTTCACAGACAGAGAAACTGAGGCCTGAACAAGAAGGGGATTTACCCGGTATTCCACAGTGAATCAGCAGTGTCAGAGCTGGGCTTTGGGCCTGGTTCCTATCCAGAACTCAACACAACCACCCCACACTGTTTGTGTTGGGATATTTTCTGCCCAGTTCTAGCCCTCGACGAACATGCTTCTGAGTTTGTGTGCTCCACCCAGGCCAAGGTGCAGACGCCTAAAAACTCCATGGCCAACTGTTGTGGCCTTCACGGAGTAACATTTGACACCTTCCATAAGAGATCTCCACTTTCAGGGCCTGCCCGCCATATGACTGCTTATGACTTTCCTTCTGACTCAGCCTCAGTTGTATTCTCCATATAGTGGGGATTTCTCCCCAGAAAGAGTGGCCCCGATGACTCCTACTTAATACACTAAGTGTGCTTCCAGATCTCTTGATGTTGTTGCAAAGAAAAAAGGAATAAGGCATGTCATAGCTGACAATGCTTGGCACAAAGTAAGCGCTCGATAGACACTTTACTGTTTATTATACAATGATGCTGCGATAATTATTATGTTTCTTTAGATAAACAACAGCTGTCTTAGTATTAGGGCTCATGTGTCTTAACACCTCTCCTTTAAATACCCCTTAAACCCACCCTTCTGTGTGAGTGAGACACTGCACGCAGCTTTCTTAAAGCAGGTGACAGCTTCATGAGCTCAGGTGACCCAGGGTCCGTGTAGCTCCAAAAGCTAAACTGACCATCCTCGGTGGCTTTGAGTGAACAGCCAACTGAGTGAGAGCGAGCAGCAAATACACTCTCTGGGAGACAGGCGTGGGGTGGGGAGATGTCGACAAAGGAAGAGTGAGCAGGCAAAGGAAGACTGAGCTGTGTCTTGCTGAGGGCCAGTCTTGGCCATTTACAAGAACTGGTAAGAGGAGGAGGAGGGCAGGGAGAGAGGCTCCTGAATGTCACAAGATTAATCTGTGCGGGGCAGGTTTCCACAGCATAACTGAGGAGCTGGCTGGGGCTTGAGCTCCTCGAGAGATACCACCATATTTGGTCAAATACTAGACAGGGCTCTGTTTTGTCCTTGGAAACTCCAGAGGGAGGGAGACTCTGAAAATACCTCCTTGGGCAACAAGCCCCTACCCCCGCCCCTGGCTGTCCCAGCCCCTCTTTCAACAAATGAAAGAACCCAGCTAAGGAGTGAATGGGGGCAAGTTGGCTAACCCTTCGCTTTCTTCTGCAGCTACAGTGGGATCCATAGGAAGGTGAGGAAATCAAAAGATATATACTGGAATATAGAGGTCCCTCTGTCTTTTGGGACCCCAGATATATCTGTTCCCTTACTTGCTAGTACATGTACCCCTTCCTAATGATCCTTCAGGACAAAACAGCTGCCCAGTACCCAGCTACAGGGTGTGCCAATAGAGATTCCATAACAGAGCCTGGTAGTACAGCCTGTGATTGCACCACTTGGGAATTAGAGGCAAGAGGATCAGGAGTTCAGAGGCATCTTTAGCTAGACATCAAATTCAAGGCCAGCCTGGGATAGAAGAGACTCCGTCTCAAAACATAACGAAAAAAGAAGGAGGGTGTTGACTGATTTCCAGTGTTTTAAGCCCCAGGGATCTTGACAGAGGAAACCCAGGAATCTTCATTTTAATGCAAACCCAGTCTAGAAGCAACAGGGGTCCTTACCACTCCACATCCAGTGTTGAAGCACAGGGAAGGTGGGCCTTCTCAGGTTCACAAGGGCTTTCAGGCTCACACAGCACTTGTGCTGGAGCTGGAAGCAGAACTAGCCCCCGTTGTTCTGTTCACTGATCCTCTCTCAATGCTTATAGTGACAAACAGGCATGGGCGAGGATGAGCATCCTTGCTGGTCAGTACTGAGCGCTCAGATTGCTCAAAATGGACTGGGGATGGCAGAAGGACTATCACTAGTTTCCCCATTCCTGGACTGTCTTGGACCAGAAGGAAGGCTCTTCCTCCAGCCTTGCCTTTGGCACACCACAGAAGTTCCCATAGTGATGTCTGGAGTGTGGACCTATGGACAGGCAGTGTCGGAGGTTGGTGCCAGGGCCAAGAGGAAGGGTGAAGAAATTAGGACTTCAGAATCACACACTTCCAGCCTCGTGTATGAGAATGGAGTCCTTGGGTCTTATGAATAAGGGCTAGAAGCATGTGTGAAGAAAGGCATAGCGGACGGATGGATGGGCAGTCCGCAGTAGCAGTGATCCGGTACCATCTAATGTAGACCTGCCGAGAACCTCACGGCACCCACCACTAGATGGCACCAACAGAAAGCCAAAAAGCCCCGAAGAGCCCTGTGCACCCCTTCCTTCTTCCTAGAGTAGGCTCTGAGGCAGAAGCTCCAGAGGGTGGACAAGGCCTGTGCCTGCCCCTGGCGTCCCAATATCACGGCTATTGAGGACCAGTGCTAAGGATGTCTTAGAGTAGGGATGGCCAGCCAGCCTGCGGAGGGCAGTGACTGAGAGTTTCTACCTGACGACTCCAAATGCCCCTTCCCTTTGATATACTATATACTCGGCCTTTAGTGTGTTAAACTTGGTACCATATTCTCAGAAAATAGCAACTAGAGGCTGGGGAGATAACTCAGATGCTAAGATGCCACATTAGCCGTAAGGGCTTTGATTCAGCCCCCAGACCCCAGAAAAGCCAGACATGCTGTGTGCACTGTAATCCCGGTAGTAACTGGAAGAGCCTTCAACTTGCTAGCCAATCAGCCTAGCCTACATGGCAAGATCAAGGAGAGACCCTGTCTCAAAAAGCAAGATGGAAGCCGGGGGTCGTGGTGTACTCCCTTAACCCCAGCACTCAGGAGACAGAGGCAGGCAGACATCTGAGTTCGAGGCCAGCCTGGTCTACACAGAGAAACCCTGTCTGGAAAATCAAAAACAAAACAAAACAAACAAAACAAGATGGATGGCTCCTGAAGGATGGCATTTGTGGTTGTCCACAAGGTCAAGGAGCTCACAGCAGGAACTCCAGTCCTTGGGAGACCTTAGAGCTCCCAAGCTCAGGGGCAGTTCAACTGTAATGTTTCTGACACATAAAAAGCACCTGCTAAAATGGGAAAGGGACTGGTTTATCTGGGCCTTTGTTTCTTCTGTGCAATAGAGATAATAGCTTGATTCTGGGCATGCACAAAGTCTTGGGTTCAATTTCTGGCACTGGATAAAGCAGGTATAGTGGCTAACGCCTGTCATCCTGTCATTCAGAAGGCAGAGGCAGGAGAATTAGAACATCAAGGTCATCCTCAGCTACACAGTAAATTTGAGGCAGCCTGTGCTGCAAGAGACCCTGTCTCAAAAAAACAACAACTTGATTTTCACTATCAAAGTGTTATGGGCACTGCCTGATAAAAGTGAGTGTCCAACTAGTAATAGCAGAAATTGGAATTGCTATTAGTTTAAATGGGTTTTTGACTTGGGATTTGGGGGATGCTTTTGGAGTGTTCCTAAATAGAAATTTGGTATTATCAAATGGATGGGGATGAGGCTAGAACAATGAAGAGGTTTCTCTACTCAATGTGCCTACTCTGGAATCTCAGCCAGGCCAGGAGGCTCTGAGGGAGGGATATAAGCCCAGACCCTGATCAAGGGGATCCAGATAGAGACCAAGTAGTCAGGAAGAGACTCACAGACTCTTTTTTTGTAAGCAAGAGCCCTCCCTCTAAGTGCGTCCCTCCAGGAGGTCTTGCCTCCTCTGCCATGCTGCTCCCCCCTCCCTCCTGGGTAGGAACCCTTCTCACAAGCCCTTATTTGCACAAATGCCTGCCTCACTGCTCACTGCAGAGTCCCAGCCAAGAGGGGCTATTTTAAGCTCCAGAGACAGGAACATTGTTGGTGGGAATAGCCCTAGCCAGCAAGCTCCCAGTTCTCAAAAAAGGGAACGGCTGGGTGAATGAGGCGTGTAGAGAGCCACATCAGCAGGACCCTGGGCTTAGGCCAGATATTAGCAGACGCCCCCTGAAAGGGTGGATGTCAAGCAAGTGTGAGTTGGAGCCAGTTCTCTGGTGACCAACCCTGAGGCGCCCATTGGCCAGCTCTGAAGGTACCAAGGCCATGCTACTAGGCTGCAGATTAACTGTGTGCGCCACTTCACCACCACCGGAAAGATGCATACACACACACCCCCCAGGCCAGGGACACCTCTTCTAGCGTAGGGTCTTTGCCAGTGACCTCCGTGCCTTCCAGAGACATTCTTCTCTCAGGACACACATTCCACCTTTGATGCAGTGGGCGCTTCGTATTTGGTCTCTTTGGGCTGTTTTTGTTGTAAATTCATCTCGCGCACACTTAATGTTTAGACTTTGAACCAAAGTAACCTGAACCCCAATGATCAGAGGCATGCAGCAGCTGGGTAACTTGGGGTTACCTGGGGCAGGCACCCTGAGCTCCATCAGAGGGGACAGAACAATGAAAGCGAAGTCCTGTAAGTGTCTGTCTATAAGCGTGTCACGAATGGCCTAGGTA